ACTTTTCAATGTACGCAAAATTTGGAAGACCAAGGCGACAATGCCATAACATGACTTGACTCTCAACTGAAACAGAATTGAACACAGAATTGGAAACAAGATTGACATAATTTGAACTAGACTCAGAAACACAACTTGACGGGTGAACTTGTCTACCAAGGAAATTATTTTCTTTGAGCAAATATAGGCCACCACGCATCTCAGCACTGCCAATCACCTTCCCTGAATCCACTGCCTGAAAATCACAAAAATTGGAATAGAATTTAGTCACACATTTTAAGTCACGAGTAAGTTTGCTGATTGAGAGTAGATTGCAGTCTAATTTAGGAACATAAAGGACAAAGTAAAGGTGAAGATCTTTTGTTAATTGGACTGATCCGGTTCCTGCTACTGGTGAGAATGAACCATCAGCTATTCAGACTGCTGTAAATTCTGAAAAGGTTAATTTCTCCAGTCATATGATCCAAGGCTCCCGAGTACTATCCAAGGTTTTGGTGTACTATTTTGGACAATATGAGCATAGGATAGGATACCTTGGTGTGCTAGAAGGCTGGTAGGTTGCTCGGCAGAGGATTGTGGTGCTGTCCGGAACTGGAAATGTGACCAAGCATTTTCTGCAGTGCCTTAATTTGCTCCTTGGTGAACGGACTGAATTCTGCATTATTTTCTGTTGTGGCAGCAACATTTGCACGGTTCTCCCTTTCATATCGTCCACTAGATGGCTTCCAATCTGCAAGTTTTCCATGTCTCCTTCACATGACCAAGTTTCTTACAATGGTCGCACCATGGTCGTCCTTTCCTGGGCTCATTATTCTGAGAGAAATTGTGAGTGTACAAGGCTGACCCTTCGAAAGCGGGTGTGGTGTGGTTGTCTGTCATCATCAGTTTCTTTCTGCTCTCCTCTCTACGAACTTCTGCAAAGGCCTCCCGAATAGTTGGAAGAGGTTTAATCCCCATGATTCTCCCCCTGACTTCGTCTAGGTCTTTATTGAGGCCAAGAAGAAATCTGATGGTCCTTTTTTGTTCAACAATCTTCCTATACAAGGCAGAGTCATCAGGGCATTTCCAAGAATAAATCTCGTACATGTCCAATTGCAGCCAACAGCGTGTGAGTGTTGAAATATTGAGTAACACTCAATTCTCCCTGTCGTAGATCATATAATCTGGTACACTCAATTCTCCCTGTCGTAGATCATATAATCTGGTCTCAATCTCAAATAACTCTGAGGAATTCTCAATGCTGGAATACGTTTCATGTGCAGCCTCCCATATCTCCTTGGCTGTCCAACCTCCATGGTCATGGAATTTATTAGCCATGACATAACCAAGTGATCATCAGTTTTCCAGGCCCGGTATTTAGGATCTGTCGTTTCTGGAGCAGAGATTTCACCTGTGAGATGTCCATCCTTCCCTCTGCCGCAGATGTACATGAAAACGAACTGGGACCATTTAAGAAAATTATGGCCATGAAGTTTATGATTTGTGACAAGATGAGAAGAAGTATCGGGGACGATAGGGGCTGAAGAATTAGGCTCGGATCTAGAAGTGACTTCCGAGGAAGAAGATTGTGAGGCCATGCCGTATTTTGTCATTATGAGAGTACGGCAAGGGAAAGAAGTGTTTGGAACGAATTAGGGTTCAGAGACTAGCTCTGCTACCATGAAGAAATCAATGGGAATAATTCTGATTTTTTCATTCCAGAAAATAATGATTTACATCCTAATATATAGGCTAAGGGGGCTGGCATACCAGTCCACAAAAAAAGGAAAATAGAATCCCTGTAAATCAGGAATTCCACCAAAATAGGAAAACGGGAAACTACAAAATCTAATTAAGGAAAAACAGAAACTAGAATATAGAAACTGAAATCTATTCTAAGAAAATAAATAACTTCCTAACTAAATACACAAGGGTCGACTACTTTCTACAAAACTATCTCAATCCGGAAACTAACTAAAGAGAATCCGAAAACTACCCTATTTCCTAGGAACCTTACCCCAAACTAAAGGATTCGGTCCTTTTATTCAAAAACAGAAAAAGTAAACTAGAAAACAGGAAAGTAAACAATTTTATTCTCTATTAGGAAATAAAATCTTCTATTTTCTGACACTCTCCCTCAAGTTGATGCATAGATATCATGCAAACCAAACTTGCTAACAAGGAAGTCAAACGATGACTTGAACAGTCCCTTTGTGAGGATATCTGTTGTTTGTTGTGTTGTTGGAACAAATGGCATACATACCATTCCTCCCTCAAGCTTCTCCTTGATGAAATGTCGATCAACTTTAACATGTTTAGTTCGATCGTGTTGCACAGGGTTGGCTATGCTGATTGCAGCTTTGTTGTCACATTATAACTTCATAGGGGCTTCTATAGGCAACTTTAACTCAATCAATATCCGTTGTAGCCATATTAGTTCACAAACTCCGTTGGCCACTGCTCTATTCTACCTCAGCACTGCTTCTTGCTACTACACTTTGCTTCTTACTTCTCCAAGTGACTAAATTACCCCACACATAGGAACAATATCCTGTTGTTGATCTCCGATCAATGGAGGATCCTGCCCAATCCGCATCGGTGTAGATTTTAATCCCATGTTGAGTGTTCTTTTTGAAAAAAGGCCTTTCCCTAGAGAATTCTTCAAGTACCCTAGAATACGGTAGGTAGCTTCTAAGTGTGCCTTCTTTGGTGAGTGCATAAACTGACTAACGAGACTAACTGCGAAAGTTATGTCTGGCCGAGTATGAGATAAGTAGATCAGTTTACCAAACAACTTCTAATATCTTGTCGTATCCACCGGATCTCCTTCTTTACTGTTGCCTAGCTTAACATTAGGATCTACTAGTTATCTACCGATTTGCACCCACTCATACCTGTCTCATTCAACAGATCTAAAACATACTTCCGTTGACTTACAACAATTCCTTTCTTTGATCTAGCTACCTCCATTCGAAAGAAATATTTGAGGGGGCTCAAGTCTTTGATCTCAAATTATGTAGCTAAGTTCTCCTTTAAGCGGCGCATCTCTTCCGAGTCATTGCTTGTCAAGATAATTCTTCCACTTGATGAGTGCCTAAAGAACATTGTGTGATCAGTTTGAGCCTGTGTGTAACCCTGGTTTTTTACTGAACAAGTAAATTTCTCAAACCACGCCTGTGGTGATTGCTTCGATCCATAGAGTGACTTTATCAATCTGCACACTTTTGAGCCAAATTTTCTTTTGAAACCAGGTGGGGCATCCATGTATACCTCTTCTTCCAAATCTCCGTTCAAGAATGCATTCTTGACATCTAGTTGTTGTAGTGGCCAATCCAAGTTGGCTGCTAATGAAAGAAGCACTCTTACAGTATTAAGTTTTGCTATTGGAGCAAAGGTCTCCATGTAATCAATTCCATACGTTTGAGTGAAGCCCTTAGCTACCAACCGGGCCTTATATCTTTCCAGAGATCCATCTGATTTGTGCTTTATAGTGAACACCCATTTGCATCCCAGTCTTTTTGTCCTTTGGCAAGTCCACCATCTCCCACGTTTTGTTCTTCTCAAGCGCCCTCATTTCTTCTAGGATTGCTTCCTTCCATTCGGGAACCTGTAAAGCATCTTTAACATTCTTTGGAATTTCCACAAGTGAGAGTTGAATAGTAAAGAAAGAGAAAACTAGGGACAAATTTTCATAGAACACAAATTTTGACATTGGATGATTAGTACATGACCTAACCCCTTTCCGGAGAGCAATTGGAATATTAAGGTCATTGAGAGATGTTTCTTCAAGAATAGAATACAAGGAAGAAGAAACACCTGGAGAATTTTGGATGGAAAGGGGGACATGAGGGACACTTAGAGAGTTTTGGTCCTGCCGTGAGTTGGAATCTTGGCCTTGCTGGGAAACTTTAGAATTTTTTCCATGAGTCAAGTTCTTCCGAGAGTAAACCAATCCGAATTTTTTCTTATTTGCATCTCCTTCAATAGAATCATTATTCTCTACCGAGACAAGACTTATTTTTGAGAATTCCTCATTATTTATAACATTTGTGTTTTCACTTTGGTCTTGTTCATTTTGAGTCAAAACTCAGTTTGTTGGTGACTGTTTAGAACCAGATTCGAACATTAACTTGTGTTGAATCTGAAAAAAATCTTCAGTCACCAAATTTACTATTTTATCCCAAGTCGGATCTTCACTATTTCTCTCCCCCTGAAGAGGAGACTTAAAAAAAGGTTTTGTTTCAAAGAAAGATACATCCATAGATACAAACATATTTTTTTTAAAATAGGATCATAGCATTTGTAGCCCTTTTTTGTTGGTGCACATCCTACAAAAACGCATTTCCTGGCCCTAGGATCTAACTTACTCCGGTTTTGATCATGATTGTGAACAAAGATAGTACACCTAAAGACTTTAATTGGTAATTCGAATAAGATCCTAGAGGATGGAAAATTCTATGAGAAAACTTGCCAAGGAGTTTGAAAATCTAGAGCTTTTGAGGGCATTCGATTAATGAGATAGGTTGCTGTGAGAATTGCATCACCCCAAAGGTATTTTGGAACATTATTTGTGAAAAGCAAGGCTCTTGATACTTCTAGAAGTTTCCCTTTACATTGATCCTAGATTGAAACTAAATAAGGAAACAATCTCACTAAACTAGGAAAGAAATAAAACAAGAAATAAACTATGAATCTGGTAATATACAGGCGGAGTCTCTCCCTAAGATTATTCACATAATTGCTCATTACACTTCCTAGAAATCTTGACTAATCAATTCTGGGAATTCAACAGTATGTGAACCATAAATTCAAGCCTATCCAACCTTATCATAGTTTAAATGTGATTCGAGGAGAAAATTATGTCAACTTTACCATAATAGCAAGAAAACATTAGCAAGGGTGCAGAAGGTTAGATATGAGGCCTTGCTAACAAGAATGAGGTAGATGCCACCATTTCATATTCATATATGCATAATCCTGATTAGTACAATACACATGAAAAAAGACCATGAAAAAATTACCTCAAAGAATTCATCCTCAAGTCCATGAACTAAAGCTCCAGCAGCACTTGATACTAAAATTTCAAAATGTTCACCACAACACTGACCAAGCAGTCTCTTCTCTTTATTAATCCCAAGAACTTTCTTTGACAGGGTTTGCAGAAGAATATCCTCAGATACCATTCCTACTTTCCCAAGGGCAATAAAAGCTTCAACCCTGACCTCCATGCTCATGTCTCTTGCCATAGAACAGAGCTACAAGCATAAAGAAAGTACAAGCATCATTACAACTTACAAATTCTACAAGTGTGTAAGATTTCCGACTCACATTCAAACAGACCAATAGGAAGAGAATGTCCAAACATTTAACTTGTGCAGGTTAAAAAGATGGAGGTAACCTAGTGGCTGGTCAACGAATATTTTTTCCTTATCAAAATTAGTAGGACTACCTGGACTATTAATACCCTTCATCCCCACCCATGTTTATAAACAATTGACCTAATCTCATTATTAAACTGCAGAATCAACTGAAATATTGCTTGTTCTTCAGCATAAATAGGAAAAAAAGAAGAAAGAAATGTGTATTTCAGTTATGCAATGACATTGGAAAGTGCACCAGTCAATAGAGAAAAATATAAAATGCATGATTTCACTAGCATCCAGCAACCCTCTAAATCGAGCATCATTTAGGCACATGGACACTGCCATCATACTTGACACAACAATACAAGCATTCAAATGCAAGAAGCATAGAAATAGAAACCAGCACATCTTTAGAAAATACCATGACAAAAACTTCATCTGAACATTGTGATTTTGTCTTGAGGTTGGATGCCGCGAGCCATAGACCCCAAGCGCAGACCTTGATACAAAAGGTACAAAAACTGAATTAGGGGCAGCAAAATGCCATCCTACATAGACTAGGCATTACGTAATTATAGATTTGCAAGGAGTTAAAGGAAATGGTACAACTCAAGAATCACAAGCATTCTTCAATCCCATTAGTTATGCAGGCATCCACAGGAAAAGAAACAGAGGTAAAATTATTAGTATAAACATGCTAGTAAAAAAATATGCAAATATTCCCCTAAAAAAATGCAAATATGCAACGATTAAATTAGAGGCATAAAACAAGATATCAAAGCTCCAAATTTAATAAAAACATAGATAAAAATATATCAACGTCAAGTCATCATCATCTGAAAAATTGGAAGAATTATAAATTGTCAAAAAAACACTAGTTCTTACTCTATGTGGACATGTAATGGACAGAATTATGAACATTTTCCTACTATCCGTGAAATATCCAAATATCCTAAAAGGAGAAAAATGAACTGTGAGTCGCCAACATTCATATTTTGGCCCATATCATTGAAAAAGTAACAATATTTCCTCTGTATTCTAAAAAAAGTGTTTTTTTCTCCCTATTTGCATATCGATAACCTTTGATACTGCACAATATTGATTGAAAATACCATACATTATCATCAACACTTCTAACTTTTGAAATAAGAAATGCACATTTAAAATAAAAAAGGAAATAAACGGAAAATGACATGAATAAGCGCTTACCGTACGAACTGCAGCCAATCTTACACTATATTCCGTGTCGCGAAGAAGCGCAACGGCATGGCTATAGCATCCTCGGATCATTTCCTCATCCTCGACCACGCAAGCGTTGCACAGACGAACGAGTCCGTCCAAAGCAACTTTCCTCACGCAAGGATAGGGATCCTTCGTAAACCCTAGAAAAACAGTGAATTCCAGATACGGCGTCAGGCGAAACCTCTCGGCGTTCCTGAGAAGCCATAGCCGTACGGACACGGGGGAGCTGAAGCATAGCGAGGCGAAAACGCCGCCGCCGAGCTCGTCCGCGGCGGGAGCCAACGCAGGGCCCCGTTCCGCGATCGAAACGACGACGTCGAGAGACTCGGCGGCGAGTCGGGTCGACGCGGCGGAGTGCAGCGCGTGACGACGCAACGAGTCGAGTACGAGTCCGGAGAGGGCGTTGCGGTGGGAGGAGAGGTCGGAGAGGAGTTTGAGCGTGTGGTGAAGAAGGTTTGGGTCGCGATTGAGTTCGAGAGAGCGAGTTAGGGTTTCGAAGAGGGAAGAGATTGTGGAGTCGGGGGTTGAGGGGTTGATGATCAAGGCTCTAATTCGAGTTAGGGATTGGGCAGAGAGAGGTTCTTCGCTGAAATTATTTGGGAGGTCCACGCTCCGCTCTTCCTCCATTGGGCAGAGGGAAGAGATTGTGGAGTCGGGGGTCGCTTTTGTCGTACGCGTTAGAAGCTTCGGAGGTCAGATAAATTCCTGACGTCGAGAATTAAAGAGTTATTTGGTTGGGGGATTCGTACCACGATTCGAATCATAGTTTGTCATTTGTTATAACATTTTTCTTATAAAAAATACATATAAATTAAAAATAATTTTAATCTCATGATTCTAATTCATAAACTAAACGTCTCCTAACAGTTTAGGAGATTTATCGGAGCGCTCGCCGAGCTAAGGTGTTAAAGTCGATAAGTCCACAAAAACTTTTGAAGCCTCTGTGTCGAGGAATTAAGGGCCTGTTTGGTTAAAAGATTCGGGTTCATGATTCGGAGTCAAATGCAAGAATCCATGTTTGGATCCATTTTTTAGTCCGTTGGGTTGGAATCAGGGTTTGAATCCCTAGCGGTTTTTGGGTCCTGATTGCAAATCAGCCCCTCCTTGATTCAGCCCAACTTCAATCCTTCCGCACAGTGCACAAACAGTAATAGTCCTGTCTAGACATTCGATTTTCCCACTTAGTCGATCTTCTTCTCGAACTCTCCAAGTTTCAATCCAAAATTTCTCACTCGCAAGCGAAGAAAAACCGTTTCGAGCTCAATTTTTCCGAGAACCAAATGCACATCTATCAACTGATTATCAAGGTTACAGAAGCAAGTTTCCGAGCGCTCAATTTCACGAAGTATCCATGCCTTGAGAATTCACGAAGAACGCTAGCTTCATCACTTTCTGTCGGGGAAAAATGGACAATGAACCCGAAATCCTCGCGCGCCTAGCCGCAAACCACCTGTTCCTCGCCCAATTCGAACCTCTCAGGGCGATAATCCACGCTCTACGAGCCAAGGACCCCGAGCTTGCCCTCACCGTGCTCCAGACGATCGTCGCTCACTCCGGGCAGTTCGAGAACGTTTTGTGGTCTTCCTCGTGTGCGTCGCCATCTCTTCTCACGTACTTGGTGACTCTCGAGCTTCTACAATTCGACAACGCCTCGTCGGTTTGGAGCTTCGATCGCGAGAAGCTGTGATTGCGAGCTGAGTTTTTGTTATTGGTTCAGCACCTGATCGACTGGGTTTCGGAGACTATGAGGAAGAATTTTGATTTGGAGAGCATCAGTAAAGAGAGAGAAAGCGAGAGCTTCGAGGAGAGAGGAGAGTTATTGGATAAGATTGAGGATAAAAGCGACCATTTGAGAGCTGCGAGCGGTGAATGGGACGGAGCCGTCGGAGTTTTGGATAGAATTTTGGAGTTGGGAGTGAAGAGGTTGAACGTTGATGTAGTTGTACACGATGGTGATGACGGCGTCAGGGAAAACCTCTCGGCGTTCCTGAGAAGCCATAGCCATATGGACACGGGGGAGCTGAAGCATAGCGAGGTGAAAATGCCGCCGCCGAGCTCGTCCGCGGCGGGAGCCAACGCAGGGCCCCGTTCCGCGATCGACACAACGACGTCGAGAGACTCGGCGGCGAGTCGGGTCGACACGGCGGTGTGCAGCGCGTGACGACGCAACAAGTCGAGTATGAGGCCGGAGAGGGCGTTGCGGTGGGAGGAGAGGTCGGAGAGGAGTTTGAGCGTGTGGTGAAGAAGGTTTGTGTCGCGATTGAGTTCGAGAGAGCGAGTTAGGGTTTCGAAGAGGGAAGAGATTGTGGAGTCGGGGGTTGAGGGGTTGATGATCAAGGCTCTAATTCGAGTTAGCGATTGGGCAGAGAGAGGTTCTTCGCTAAAATTATTTGGGAGGTCCACGCTCTGCTCTTCCTCCATTGGGCAGAGGGAAGAGATTGTGGAGTCGGGGGACGCTTTTGTCGTACGCGTTAAGAGTTCGGGAGGTCAGATAAATTCCTGACGTCGAGAATGAAAGAGTTGTTTGGTTGGGGGATTCGTACCACGATTCGAATCATAGTTCGTGATTTGTTACAGTATTTTTCTCATAAAAAATACACATAAATTAAAAATAGTTTTAATCTCATGATTCTAATTCATAAACCAAACGTCTCCTAACAGTTTGGGAGATATATCGAAGCGCTCGCTGAGCTAAGGTGTTAAAGTCGATAAGTCCACAAAAACTTTTGAAGCCTCTGTGTCGAGGAATTAAGGGCCAGTTTGGTTAAAAGATTCGGGTCATGATTCGGAGTCAAATGCAAGAATCCATGTTTGGATCCATTTTTTAGTCCGTTGGGTTGGAATCAGGGTTTAAATCCCTAAGCGATTTTTGGGTCCTGATTGCAAATCAGCCCCTCCTTGATTCAGCCCAACTTCAATCCTTCTGCATTGTGCACAAACAGTAACAGTCCTGTCTAGACATTCAATTTTCCCACTTAGTCAATCTTCTTCTCGAACTCTCCAAGTTTCAATCCAAAATTTCTCACTCGCAAGCGAAGAAAAACTGTTTCGAGCTCAATTTTTCTGAGAACCAAACGCACATCTATCAACTGATCATCAAGGTGACAGAAGCAAGTTTCCGAGCGCTCAATTTCATGAAGTATCCATGCCTTGAGAATTCACGAAGAACCCTAGCTTCATCACTTTCTGTCGGGAAAAAATGGACAATGAAACCGGAATCCTCTCGCGCCTAGCCGCGAACCACCTGTTCCTCACCCAATTCGAACCTCTCAGGGCAATAATCCACGCTCTACGAGCCAAAGACCCCGAGCTTGCCCTCACTGTGCTCCAGACGATCGTCGCTCGCTCCGGGCAGTTCGAGAACGTTCTATGGTCTTCCTCGTGTGCATCGCCATCTCTTCTCACATACTTGGTGACTCTCGAGCTTCTACAATTCGACAACGCCTCGTCGGTTTGGAGCTTCGATCGCGAGATGCTGTGATTACGAGCCGAGTTTTTGTTACTGGTTCAGCACCTGATCGACTGGGTTTCGGAGACTATGAGGAAGAATTTCGATTCGGAGAGCATCGGTAAAGAGAGAGAAAGCGAGAGCTTCGAGGAGAGAGGAGAGTTATTGGATAAGATTGAGGATAAAAGCGACCATTTGAGAGCTACGAGCGGCGAATGGGACGGAGCCGTCGGAGTTTTGGACAGAATTTTAGAGTTGGGAGTGAAGAGGTTGAAGGTTGATGTAGTTGTACACGATGGTGATGACGGCGTCAGGCGAAACCTCTCGGCGTTCCTGA